ACTGTCTAGTAGGTTCTTGTATCTGAGGCTTCCACATCTATTGAAATTTAGTCATTTTAATAGCAAACAACCAGGTAAAAATGAAGATTATAAAATCATTTACAGCACAATCTCAAATTTATATAAATATATATTTTAATTGTCTAATAGGATTATATCAAAATATGAAAAGACGACTTTTCTGTAGTTTATAGGATTTATGAGGAATTTTCTTTTCTATTAATGAGCTGTAATTTCTAATTTTTTCTAAACTAATGTGCTTGAGTAAAAAAAAAAGTGTGTGTGTGTGTGTGTGTGTGTGTGTTTTAATTCTGTGAGCTGTGAAGTTCAAAGTAGGATACTGTGCAGCATTCAAGAGACAGAATTTAGTATATTAGTAAGTCATTTGTGCACTCCTTGATCCTGCAAACTAGAACATGCTGTTCCATAACCAAATCCAGGAGGGAAAAGGCACTGTCTCATCCGAACGATGCAAACATATTTAGCCTAACAAGAAACTGGCTCATTTGAGGCTTTTATAGCACACAAGGACAGAAAGTAGTTCGCATAATTTCCGCATGCTCCTTTTATAGTGTTTATCTTTTATAAGGTTATTTGGAACAGTTGCTAGTCACCTGTCAATAACGTGGCCTTTTATAGACTCAGCTTTATATTGTTCTCATGCCCTTGACATATAAAACACAGTATTAGAAGAAGTCAGTGTTGAATATGTTGAGCAAAATACTAATTTTAAATTTAAACGACCATCTTTTGTAGACTGAAATAGAGTTTAGAATGACATGAAGAGAATAGGCATGTTGTAAAACCCTCTTTAGCAGGAATGAAAAATTCATTTTTTATCGACACTTTTGGAAAGTTAGTTAAGAATTATTTTTTTAAAGCACTAGCCTATGGAAAAATAAGCCAAGTAGCACTCATTTAAAGTTGTTATAACAATTTTGCATAATCTTATATCAGTTCCAACTGAAAATATTTCTATTGTAAGCCTATCAATTATGTAAATATTTGGGTTTCTAAACACTCACTTCAAATTTTTTTTAGTTGAATAAGACATCCAGCATTTCTTTCTTGACTTCCATAATATCTGTCAGGCTAAATGTTCTACAAATATATTTTTGACCTACATCCTAGAAGTATTTTTCATGATACTAAATGAATACAATCCTACAGATCAGTATGCAGGAATACATTTCCTCTTATAAAGGGACATTAGCCAAGGCCTTAAGTAAAAAGGGGCCTAGTCTTTGCTTTGTGCAGTTGGAATCCAAGTTCCCTTTATGTTATAGTGAACAAGAACAGCAAGTAAAGCAAGTTTTAAACCGAGGCAAATTCTTTCTGTTCTTATTAAGAAGCAAAACACACACACACACACACACACACACACACACACACACACACACACACGTGAACAAACACATACCACCTTTCCAACTCCATCACTTCCCACTCTTAGTAATAGGAGACAGAGAGCTACAATTTAATATTATGCAGAGATATAGGAGTTCAATAGCAGAGTCCCCTACTGTGCTTGGGAGAGGATTTCTTTGTGTTTTTCTTGATAGAGTTTGCATATTGTGCTTTCAGTTTGCCCTTTGAAACATTTGTTCTCCATGACACATGGTAGCTAATTGGGCTAACAATTCCTAGCTGTCAGGAGCAATTTTAGATGTGGTCCCCTTTCTGTTCAATGTGTGATTATTTTAAAACTGCTGGAGGAAAGGAGGAGACAGCCCTTCATCGGGTCTACCGCGGTAAAGATCTGATTTTTCAAAGGGGTCTGCTAATTGGACATGTGTAATACCCAAGGTGCAATGAAAAGATAAGACAGCAGTTAAAGCCTGCAAAGTGAATGAATTTTTTTCAGGTTCACTTGTGATTATTTTGCCACCTCCACTTTGGCTGGGGCCCTCATATATTTTATCTTCAGCCTAGAGGGTGTTTTTGTAGATCTCCATGGAATTTTCTCTGGATCGCCTGTCTTCTGGTTTTCAATGGAAATATACTTGGAATAAAATAAGCCCAACATGGTTACCTATGCATAGACGGTTGATAGGAATCTGTGATGATATTTTTGGAATGAAAGTTGAATTGTATTTGTACTTAGAATGTATGCTTTTTCTAGTTATCTAAGTAAACCTTAGATATGCTTGCTCATTGTCAATGTATGAAATACTGTAGAAGTCTTCTTGAACTCAATTTCTTTCTTTCTTTCTGTTGGTATTGACATCAAATATGTGGTACAATTAAGTATTTTTTTTCTTTTTTTCTTTATTAAGGTATTACATATGTGCCCTTATCCTATTACCCTCACCCCTTCACCCCCTTGGGGGAGAGATCAACCAATTAAGTATTTTTAAATGCAAAATGTATCATTTGCTATAAAATTTAAAATTTTTACTTTGAGGCTAAAAAACTAATTTCTTAATAGTCCCAATCTGATTAATCAGTATAATTTCTCAATTAATACAAAAGTTTAGAAAACAATAAAATATCAAGAAGTTCCCACAAGTTATACCTGGAATTTAGACTCTGAATTAATGCAAGACACTTATATTGTGAAATTTAGGTGTAACAGCATATAACTTGTAACTTGAAGGTCTGACATAAATCTATCTTAATAGGCTGTGTTTCGGGTAGGGAGTAAGGATTACTGATTTGGTGAAGCACAGTAGGGAAAGGAATAAATACCAAAGATATGTGGAATTAACTGTAAAATTTTATATATATTATTATGTTCCCTTATTGAGAAGAATCCTAGGTTCTGTGATTCCTAAACTGAATATTTACAAAGTATCTAGAGAGCATTAGCAAGTTTATAAGTATATATTTTTCTTTGACAAATTAAAAATAAGATTAAAATATCTTCTGGCATTGCCTGTGGGCAGTGTAACAAACTCACTGGCTTTCTTACCTCATAAGGTTCTGACATCATCACTTTGGGAAGACTGTTTCTGTAAATGCATTTTAAGTCCTTTATGACTTTTCACATATGAGATTCATAAAGCAGTGATATATAGGTATGCCAAATATACAGTTATTACTTTCATGCAATAATGATTAGTTAGCACAATATTTTCAGTTGATCTCTTTTCTATTTATAAACCCATTATTTCATTTGTAATAAAGATAACATTATCAAATTATAAACACTTTGATATATAAATAAAAGTAAATGTTTACATTAAATATAAGCACATTCTTCATATTTTATTTGTTGCAGTTTAATTACATTATATAGGTATACCTAAGTCTTGAGCTCTAAAAATCTAGGCTAAATCATTAAACTAAAAGACGGGAATAGAATCAGAAATTAAGGTTTTGTTATTCATTCAAGATATGAACTTGGCAAATCACTTTCCCTTCTTGTCACCAGTTCTTTTCATTGATAGAGTGAATCTGTTGGCCTCATTTAGTAGTTTTCACTTTACAGCAATAGAAACATCTTGTCAGACAAAAATCTCATGCATAATCTCAAAATGTATAAAAATAAATAATAACAATGGAACTTTTCTTACAGAAGCAACAATGCAGGTTCAGGAAGGGCAGAAAGGTGGGGTTGGGAGACCCTGAAGTCCAACCCCATATACTAGCCAGAACCTCCTAAATGGCCTATTAAAGATGGCTCTAGGCTACATCAAATAATTTATTAAATTCCATGGAGCACATTTTGAAAATCATACAATTATGTGATCATTATGTTTCTTTAAAATTTCAAAATTATAATTGTCAGTTTCATAAATTGAACAGATTTGTCTGTTAAAGCACTGGAGTCTTATTCTCTTCCTTAAAAAAAAAAAAGAAATAATGCAGGCAGATATGAGGGTTTCAATCTATGCTAAAAAGGATTCAAAGGTCAAAGGCCCATATTTCACACTAGTATCCCATCACACTACACCATAATACCAAATAGTTCACACCTAGGAAATGAATAGATTGAAGGAACTCCAAATAACCCTTCAATGTTCAGAAAACTGCATATTCTTTTAATTAAATTTAAATTATCTAATCTGTTTTTATTCTTCACTGGGGAGATGAGAGAAATGATAAATTTAAGGGCAGAATGAGCTTAAATAATGATTTCTACTTGGATTACCAGAAAGTAAACACTTCTGTCAGCACACACATATACAACTACTAGAGGCCCGGGGCATGGCATTCATGCACTGGGGGCAGGGTGGGGGGCCCTCACCCCTGCCTGCGCCCTTTCGCAGTACGGGAGCCCTCGAGGAACATTTGACTGATGGCTGGGCCAAAGCTGCAGTTGGACATCCTTACTAGGACATCTTTACCGCTGCCACAGAGGCAGGCCCTTGTGCTCACCAGCCGTCACCCCAGCTTGTGGCTGAGCAGCGCCCCCCCAGCCCCAATGGGAATGCACTGACCATCAGCGGGCAACTCCTGTGTTTAGCGTCTGCCCCCTGGTGGTAAGTGAATGTCATAGTGACCGGTTGTGCCGCTGTTCAGTTGATTTGCATATTACCCTTTCATTATATAGGATTAGATTCTTAGTCACAATGTGTAGCAATAGAAAATGAGGCAGAACAGAGCATATTCTACAAAATAGTTCATTGCTTGGCAGAATAAAAGCCTGTGGGAGATTAAGTTCTTCACATGGGTCCATTTTCTTTCCCAGTTACCGACATGGGTGGTGGTGATGAGGCAGGAGTGGAGTTTTCACTGTGACTCATTTCTGATGTCCCCTCCGAAATTAGAGAGCAGGGGCTCTCTAACAACCTAAAATGAAGGAACTGAATAAAAGCAGACTTTCCATAATCCCCAAAGGCCCCAGCGTGAAAGTGTTCCAGCAGTTACCTTATATATTTAGTCTGACACAGTTCCCCTGAGTGCAGATCATTACTTTGCAAAAGTCTTGCACGGAGACCTACTTTCTCACCCTTCAGGGAAGTTCCTGTACTAGATCTTGACATGTCTTTTTCTGGAACGTGAAGCAACCTGCGGTTTCCCTCTGGCAGCGCTGCTAACTCTTGTGTCGTGTTTAGGTCCGTGGGGCCGGTGCATGGGAGATGAGTGCGGCCCGGGAGGCATCCAGACCCGCGCGGTGTGGTGCGCGCACGTAGAAGGATGGACGACGCTGCACACCAACTGCAAGCAGGCCGAGAGGCCCGGCAACCAGCAGCGCTGCTTCAAGGTGTGCGACTGGCACAAGGAGCTGTACGACTGGAGGCTGGGGCCCTGGGACCAGTGCCGGCCCGTGGTCTCCAGGAGCCTGGAGAAGGCCCTGGAGTGCGTGAAGGGGGAAGAAGGCATCCAGGTGCGGGAGGTCACGTGCATGCAGACGGAGAAGGGCGTTCCGGCGGAGGAGGACCTCATCTGCGAGTACTTCGAGCCCAAGCCGCTGCTGGAGCAGGCCTGCCTCATCCCCTGCCAGCAGCCCTGCGTCGTGTCCGAGTTCTCCGCCTGGTCCCAGTGCTCCAAGACGTGCGGCAGCGGCCTCCAGCACCGCACCCGCCACGTGGTGGCGCCGCCCCAGTTCGGGGGCTCGGGCTGCCCCAACCTGACCGAGTTCCAGGTGTGCCAGTCCAGCCCGTGCCAGGCGGCCCAGAGCCCGCACAGCCTGCACGTGGGGCCCTGGAGCGCCTGCACCGCGCTCCCCTCCCGGCAGGCCCGGCAGGCCCGGCGGCGGGGCCGGAACAGAGAGCAGCGGGAGAGGGACCGGGGGAAAGCCCTGAAGGACCCGGAGGCCCGGGAGCTCATCAAGAAAAAGAGAAACAGGAACAGACAGAACCGCCAGGAGAACAGATACTGGGACATCCAGATCGGCTATCAGACCAGAGAGGTCACGTGTACCAACAAGACGGGGCAGGCTGCGGAATTGAGGTAACCTTGCATTACCGTTAGCTGCACGGGGTGTGTCTCTTGTCAGTTCGCTGGTCTCTTCGCAGTGGTCGGCAAACTCATGAGTCCACAGAGCCAAATCTCAAAAACAGTACCAGGATTGGAATTTTATTTTGAGGGCCAATTTTTTTATACTTAAAACTTCTTCTGATGCCACTTCTTCCAAATAGACTTGCCCAGGCTGTGGGATGTTGTGGAATAGCCACACGCAAGGGGCCAAAGAGCCGCATGTGGCTCGCGAGCCGCAGTTTGCCGACCATGGGGCAGGTAGGGGTGTCGAACTCAATCAGAGAAGGGGCCAAAATCTAAAATCCAGCCTAAATCGCGGGCCGAATGGTTTACTGAACAGTCATAAACTGTCATTGTGATGGAAACGCAGCGGAGTGCAGTGATGACAGCGCGGTGCGGGCCACATTGCAAGGCCTGGCGGGACGGATTTGGCCCGAGGGCCTTGTGTTTGACACATTCTAGAGGGTAGGGGCCAGGAATGCTGATGAGCATTATAGAGTGCAGAGTACAGAGAGTCCTTCAGACATGCTCTGCTCAATCCCGAAACCCACGTGCATACAACCTAAGGTATAATGGTTAGCACCTTAAGCTTTGTGGGTTTCCTGGCATTGTTTCTGTTTTGCGCATGCTTAGCACTAGACAGCTTGAGCTCATTTCAATTGAGAGGTTAAAATGAGAGGTTCTCTGAGAGCTGCTGCCGCTGTAGGTCAATAGAGCTGATGGGGGGGAAACAAATACGTAAAGGCCTGAGTTTTTGGGATTTTGAATTCAGATATTTATTTTACTAAGCATAAGACACATTTGTAATCTCTCCAAGTTTATAGTATTTTGATAATTACCCTATAAACAAAATCTGAACAACCACCCAGGGAGCTATATCTAAGAATAATTCTCTTTCACATTTTATAAAAGGTAATAACTTTCCCCAGAGAAGAAAAGGGGAAATCAGCAGAAATTAAGGTGTTTAATTGTGAGTTTTCTAGTTTAGAAAATGTGTAATTAATTGGCTGCATTTTCTAGGCCAGAATTATTTGTCAAATTATCTCTGAGTAAATAATGACAATGTTATGAAGCAGCTTTCTCATGTGTGCTTTATTGTGAAGATATTCATTGAGGATCATTCATTAAGGATGAGCTAAAGGGTTTAATGTTCTTCAGATATTCTGAATTTTGCTTTTGGATAAGCCAGACCATGTGGGCGTGGCTGATGTGGATAATTTGCATAATTGCCCTTTCTGAAATATTTATGCAGTTATGATTTGGACTGAACTGAGAGAAATTGTGGTAACATCATTCAGAATTTTATTTCCTATGTATTGTAGAAATTACATTGAAAATGTCATCTACTTCATCACATGTCTGTTCTTTAATTAAAAGCACATAAGAAATTTCACTGCCATTTCAACCCAAGTGCTTCTGGTGAGCAGCTGGGTTGTTTTCCTGATGACCCCTGGAAGTCTTGTATCAGATTACATTTTCCTCTTTTTTTTGGCTGGGAATATAATAGGACTGTGTGACATGCATGTTGTACACTAACGTACTCCACTGGCTTCCTCTGTTTCTCATAATCATTATTTTTCTTTGCTTATTTTTGCCTAATGATTTTGCTGTCTACAGCTTTTGAAAGCTGGTTTGAAGCCTTTTTCAGTGCAGGATATAATGTAAATTAACGAACATACAAACAATTGACTTATCTAAGACAAGAATTTCTCTCAGTATACCACTGTTCTAGTCACTGATTTTAGGATATTTGCTACTACCTCCCCTCTTTGGATTGACACAGTTGTGTTTTCTCTCAGCCCTACAATAGTTTGCTCTTTCTCCATTTTGGTGTAATCAGCCCAACTCCTTGCCTGGTCTTGCTAAGGGCTGCTTGTTCTCCTGCCTTCAGTGTCCACGTTCCTTAAAACTCCGTGTGTGTGTGTGTGTGTGTGTGTGTGTGTGTGTGTGTTCACTTCTGATTCTGTCAGATGTACTTTCAAGTCAATTCCTGTTTTTACTCTTTTATGACTATCCTTATTCTGCTGATTTCTTGGGTCTTTAAGACAACTTGAGTTGTCTCCTGATGTCACTGGATTAATATGGTGTAGACATTTAATTTAATGTAGACTACTCAATTAAGAGTGTAATTAGCATAGTACCTACTACTGCATAGACTCGCAGGCGTCTTCAAACCACGGCCCGCGGGCCACATGCGGCCCGCAGAGGAGTCTGATCCGGCCCGCCAGGTTTTTTGGGCAGTGAGCGCAGGGAAGGTGTTACAGTAGGAATTAGTAGTTCATATAGTCCGGCCCTCCAGCTCTCTGAGGGACCGTGATCTGGCCCCCACTTTAAAAAGTTTGAGGACCCCTAGAGTAGGGGTGTCGAACTCAATCAGAGAAGGGGCCAAAATCTAAAATCCAGCCTAAATCGCGGGCCGAATGGTTTACTGAACAGTCATAAACTGTCATTGTGATGGAAACGCAGCGGAGTGCAGTGATGACAGCGCGGTGCGGGCCACATTGCAAGGCCTGGCGGGACGGATTTGGCCCGCGGGCCTTGTGTTTGACACATGTGCAGAGCCTCACGTACCCATGCAGCTGCTTAAAATAAATATATTTTAAAATCTGTAGATCATTTATCAGGTACTTATATTGGAAATACCATATCTAATTATTCTAATAAAATGATAGTGCATGTATGTTATAAATCATTAGGGCGTAGGTGAAATGTTAAGTTAAGCAAATTCGTTATTAACATTTTTCTTATTTAAGAATTATATATAAGAATATACATGACATGAATAAGCATATATAATTAGGAAAATTAAAGTGTTAGTAAAGAAGAGACAAAACCAGGTATTTTGACCAAATTTTGCTCAAACATTAGAAATAACAGTGGAGCTAATAAAATGAAAAGTAAATGGATAACACCATCAAAACACAAGGCTACAGATCATGGATTCGGTGATTAAATTTAAAGTGTCTCATCTTATATAAAATTGAGAAATAATTTTATCATGTAAGAGGATAAAAAATTAATTACCATGGCTTAAAAATATCATTATAATAACTAAATGAATTTAAATAAATAAACCTATGAGTATTATTGAAATAGTTGGTAGACAAATAATTTTAGCAGACTTACTGCTAGAACTCTCAAGTTAAAGAAGATAGATCTTCCCTGCTTCCTGCTTTATAAACAGACTAAAATCAATAAGAATAAAAATGCAAACAGAAGTTCCATTCTTTTATGTTCATAAGAAACAATCATAGTCCCAAACCACAACTGGCAGAGAAGATTTAGAGAATCTGGTAAAGTTAGATGGGACTTTGGGAAGAAACTTAGAGCAGCCCAGTGTCTTTGGAGCTTTTATGAACTCAAAATGTCTGAGTAGCCTGAACTTTCTAAGGGGCCAACCCAATGATACCTTGTCTATGGCCTGGTCTGCGTTAGTAAATGGGCTGCTGAAGAGTCTCTGAGATCTGTTTGAAGACAGAATGGCATAATAGGCAGGACTAAACAAGGAAACTCACTGTGCCGTTACCACCAAGGAAAGGCTATCCGTTTGATGGACTGAGGGATTGAAGATTGGTGCCAGTGGAAGAGAGTTCTAAGTCACTACACACACACCACCTACACAATGGGCTTCCCTGTGAAGCAGTGAGTTTCAGCCAGGCTTAAATAGAGTATTACCCCCAGGCCAAAAGATGGTATGAAAGTATGGGCAAAAAGTTCTCCAAGAAACAAAAAGTGTAAAAGATAATACTTTTTTTTTCCCCTGAACCAAAAAGAGAGGGAATTTCAATAGTCAAAGAAGAGTGTAGAAAACAGAATGAGCTTAAAAGTGATTTGGCAGAGAGTGCAAAAGAAATGGAGAATTCTAAACCAAGAAAAGAAATGAAATTCACATTACAAGAAACAAAATATGAGAAAATATTCTGTGGTAAGTGTCACTGATATAGTGAACAGTTGCAGAACATTAAGCCACTGTAATTTTTTTTTTTAAGATGATGGATATGAAACAAAATGTCACTATATGAAATTCTGGTGTTACTTGGATAGGACCAGAAAAATCAGAACAGACATAACAAAGACATAACAATATAATGGAAAACTGTACTGAAATTAAGGAAGAATTTAATCCATAGATTGAAATTGCACAGGGCCAATATTCTTCTGGAAGAGGAAAAATAATATCCTCAATTGATACAGAGCAATTGTTATAGAGAGAGATAGACAGAGACATCAAACTGAAAGCCGGAACGATAATTCTGAAACATTAGATGCTTTCTCTTTAAAGTAAAAAATAAGATAGGCCATCACATTATTTCCACTGATAGTTAACATTCATGTAAGTATTAGTCAGTGTAGTTGAAAGGAGAAAGAAATGAAAATTAAAAAGTATATTGCAAAATTAAGATTTCCCCTGCCAAATTTTATAAAACTCAAGATAATAAATTGAAAGTATCTTATAAGCAACAAAATAGCTCAATGGGACAGAAAGGAAATATCCCAAAATCAATATATTCCCTAGATGCAAACAGCAATTAGTTCAACATTGATGGAAACAAAGGATTATAATATCCATTTAAAATAGTAAAAAAAAAATCTGAAATAAACCTAACTATGGAAGTTCTGCACATAACACCAGACTTTGACAAGTGAAGCAGTAAATGCGTGCTTGTTTAGAACATGCAGTAAATATACCAATTGTTCCCATAGTAATTTCTTGACTATTACCAAGGAAAAAATAGGTCTATAATAAAAAGCCAGGAAGATTCTGAAAAATAAAAGTAAAGAGAAAACAAACCAGCATCACCAGTAAATTAAATGCATTTTATTCCATGAATAATAATAATTGTATGTTAATACATGAATAATCAGATGAAACAGAATAGAGTCTGATTTAGAAGGGAAAAAAACACCTTAAAATATGTTTCCACTGATAGAAGGAGCATTTCCAATTTTGGTGAAAATGAACATGTTTCTGT